ACCAGGCCAGTTAAGTGAGACTTCACCAACTCCTGTGCCCACTCCCAGGTGCAGCTGGTGCAGTCTGGGGCTGGGGTGAAGCAGCCTGGAGCCTCAGTGAAGGTCTCCTGCAAGGCTTCTGGATACACCTTTTCCACCTAGGGTATGCATTGGGTGTGACAGGCCCCTGGACAAGGGCTTCAGTGGATGGGATGGATCAGCAGCAACACTGGAGAGCACTGTTGCTGGGTATAAACAGAATTTGAGGAGAAGTGCATGTGTGCCAGAAACCCTACACATGTAACGGGCAGAATCCATGGTGACCCTCTGTCTCAGAGCCTCTTCCCAGGGTTGAGTGTCCTGCTCAGGTGTCAGATGACACAAACCCATTCCTCCTCTGAAAGAGCATTCCTCTGCTGAGTGTCAAGGCATCCATTTCCACCCCCGGGGCAGGAAGGCAGGTGACAGAAACAAGCAGGTTTGCAGGATGGAGAGGGAAGAAAAGGGATAGGAACCAAGGAAATACCTTGTTTCCAGGACGTATAGTCTAAAGTCCCACTGCATATTTTGGAGTCCCAGCTGAAGCTGGAGATTCTCCATTGTGAACTTTCCTTGCACAAGACAGTTCTTTGTGGGTGGAGGGTTCGGGGAAATGCTGAATGAGTTCTCTTCTTTGCTGAGCCCAGGGTTCTCACCCTCTGTGGTACGTGGTGTTTTCCCTGCCCCGTTGAGTCACCCCTGCTGATCCCCTACCTGCTACTCCCCAGGTTTTGCTTCTTTGTTCATACTCTTATCCTTTTCTAGATTTCTCTTCATGGAGGCCCCTTGGTAGCCTTGGGTGACAGCATAACCTAGGTCACCACATCATAGCAGGTCTGAGGACTCTTTTTGTACCACTGTAAACACACACACACACACACACACACACACACACACACACCAGATCCCCACATCCCCTTTCAATTCCTTACAGGAAAGCACACAACTGTCTTGGAGGAATTGTTTGCATGGGCTATGGGAGCGACAATGAGGCATTACTCTCCTCTGAGGATACAGGATCTCCATGTCCAAGGAGAAGAAAGACTGCAGGTGCACAGAAGCCCAGTATTTCAGGATCTGGGAGAGGAATCACAGAAGACCAAGTACAGCAGGACTGGTCAAGAGCAACAAAGCACTGAAGGCAGGTTTGAGTGAGGAGGACAAGGTGAGGCCTGATCTTATGTCTTTTCTCCTTCTTTCTGTTGATGTGATGTGTCACACTGATTGATTTGCATATGCTGGACCATCCTTGCTTCACTGGGATAAACTGTACTTGGTAACGATGAATGATTTTTAATGTGTTGTTGAATTGGGGTTGCTAAGATTTTCTTGTGGATTTTTGTATCTATATTCATAAAAGATAATTGGCCTGTAGGTTTTTTTTTTTTACTTCCTTGTCTGGTTTTCATATCGGGGTAACATTTGTCCCATNGAGGAAATTTTTTGCAATTGAGAGGACTTTGATTCTCTACTGTCTCCTCTCCACAGGTGCCCACTCCCAGGTGCAGCTGGTGCAGTCTGGGGCTGTCTGGGGCTGGGGTGA